CACACCCTCCCAACACAACACACCCTCCCAACACACAACCCACGATCAAGTGTAGTATCTGATCCGAGGTCCATCGAGACAGTTAACCAAAAAAAAAAAAAAGTGTCCGCACCAGTCCGGCACTCGTGCGCGCAAGAGAGAGACCCCAATCTAACTAACTACGCGCCCCCTCCCCCCCCATCAAGTGCAGTATCTGCTTGCATCAAAAGCAACTACCCGTCACGCACGCGCGAAAGCGAGAGAAAGAGAGAGAGAGAGAGAATCCAATCTAACTCACCATCGAGGCCTTTTTCTTTTAAGAAAGAAAAAGCACACGTGCGAGAGAGAGAGAGAGAGAGAGAGAGAGAGAGAGAGAGAGAGAGAGAGAGAGAGAGAGAGAGAGAGAGAGAGAGATTGTTTAAACTGGCGCATGCAAGACATGGGAGGGAGGGAGGCAGGAAGAGAGAGAGAGAGGTAAGTCGAGATGGTTTAAACGGGCGGACGCAAGACACGGGAGGGAGGGAGGCAGGGAGAAAGGGAGAGAGAAATCGATCGCGCAGATGCCTCTCTCTCTCTCTCTTTTTTTCTTGCAATTCGATTGAGGTGGAATGTCTTTCTACCGCGATTGATTGATGGCTAGAGGTGTGAAAGATATGCACGCGCGCCAGAGAGAGAGAGAGAGAGAGAGAGAGAGAGAGAGAGAGCCCACAATTAAGTGTAGTATTTGCTTCGATCAGTTTCATATCAGATCTGTGGTCCAGAGAGACTTAAAAATAAAACTAAAAAAGCAAATGCACGTGTGCACGAGAGAGAGAGAGAGAGAGAGAGGAATCTGCAAGGAAGATGAGTGATAGCGAATTCCAACAATCAGACAACATCATACATATGAGTCCAGATAGTCTTGACCTCAAACCAAACGCAGAATTGCATCACGAGATACACCAAATAAGAACACACCAAGAGTTCATCATTGACAATGTTGAAGTAGTCCCATCATCATCAGCGAAGAACCAAAGTTGATATCCTATTGGCGCTCGGCGCCCAGACTACATGTGGCAGATCCTATCTAGCCTATACTACGAAGCAGAATGATGACATCAACAGCGTTCTCGAAGTGCGAGCATATGGCGACCAATGTCGCACGCTTCAGCACCAGGTATGTCTTGCGCTACCCTCACAACGTCGCTCCCCAACTCACAAATGCCACTAGCACACAAGGACCACCCTGCGCTTCACCCAGATACAGCAGCGCAGCTTGGCTATGGCTGCGTGCTCCTACCCTGCTTGCCCGTGAGAGCGCAGGCGCCAGCCAGCAAATAGCGCAGCAGCAGCGCTTGCGCAGCATGCAGCCAGCATCCGAATCCCAAATGAGGAGGCAGGCCCTTCCCTATATCGAAGTGGCCTGCCGGTGTCCAGTCCCGGAAGCTTCCAGTAGGCCCCGGTAGCCTGAGGCCCAGTCACGAGGAACGCAGGCCTTGGGCCTGAAGTGGTTGCATGTGTCCAACTGCTTTTGGCCTGTGCTTGGCCCGGTACCCGTATCCAGCCTAGGGCCTGGTTTACATTCATTCACACAGGTGGCTTTTGAGTTCATTCAACCAACTGGCGCTGCGCAACTGCCTGAATTTCCCCAGTTGCGAGGTACCCTGAAAATCGAGGCTCTGAGGGCCTGTCGTGCCTGCCTTCACTTAGGGCGGCCGACCTTGCTGCAAATAAGGGCCCGTAGGGGCTAAGCGGGCGTAGCCTCGCATTCCCTCCTCCATATCTTCGTTAGTTCTCTGAGAAGATCAATCTGCCGCCATCTGGCGCTTTCCTTTCAATACATCCCTCTCATAGCGGGCAACGGTTTGAGGAGTGGTCTGCATCAATTCCTCCCGAGTAAACCAGCGGTCCTCCTTCGGATCTGTATGATGTTTGAAGTGGACACGGAACTGCAGCTTTGGCTTTGGAGGACGTCCCCTTCCTGGAGGCTTTTGCACAGGCATTTCTCTGTGGTCGACGATATCGTCAATGTCGACCTCTCCCCATGGTTGGGGGCAACATCAAACGACGAGAGGGAAACTGATCAGTTTCCTTGGATGCAGCGAGCTTGGAGGCGTGAAAGACAGGGTGAGTTCTGAGATGACCAGGGATACGGATGACATAAGATGGACCATCAGGATCTGTCCCTACTATGTCTAAAACTTCCCAAGGTCCAAAGTACAGAGGCATGAGTTTGCGGGATATCCCGAACTCCTGTCCCAGTTCTGAAGACTTGACCCAGACTCGGTCCCCAACCTGAAATGTAGAAGGGCGGCGGTGTTTATTCTCAGATTCTATCATTGCTGCCTGCGCTTTCTGCATGTGCTCTACAGCCTCCTGCATTTTCTGTTCGTAACGATAAGCGAACTCCAAAGTGCCCAGTGCAACAGTTGGCTGGATATTAGGAAGTAGGAAGTCTAAAGACAGTTTAGGACTAAACGTAAGATGTAGACTGTTAAGACTTACCCCGGTAGCGCTGTGTACAACGTTATTATACAGACTGGCGACAAGAGCAAGCTTCTCGTCCCAGTCCACCTGGTTGGGCGTAATGTAATGCCTCAACAGGTGTTGAACAACGCGGTTCATCTGTTCAGCCTGGCCGTTTGCTTCTGGATGGTTTCCAGAGGTCATTTGCAGTTGAGTTCCCTGTTCAGCTGCAGCGGCCTTCCATAACTCACTTGTAAATCTGACATCCCTGTCACTTACAATAGACTTGGGCAATTCAAAATCCCTCACCCAGTTCTCTTTGAACAGCCTGATTACATACTCGGTCTTCGCTGTTTCCGGCATGGCAATTAACCTAGCATACTTACTAAATCTGTCCACGATGACGAAGATCTGCCTCATCCCACTCTTGCTGGTGACCAGCGTATCCACGAAGTCCATGGACAAGCTTTCACCTGGCCTTTTTGGAATCGGAAGGGGCTTGAGCAGCCCAAGAGGAGCCTGAGTACGGGGCTTGTCCCGTTGACAGACTTGACAAGTCTCCACGTACAGCTGTGCATCTCGCATCATCGTGGGCCACCAGAATCGCTGCAGCAAGTTGGCTGCGGTCTTCTTATACCCGAAATGACCAGTGGCATTATGCCTCTCACCTAGAAACAAACTACGCAAAGACTCGCTATTGGGAACACACAATCGTTTATTCCCTGCCTTCTCAAGGAACAGCAAGCCATTAACCAACTCAAACTCGGCGGACGTCTTTTTGTCCTTCGCCTCAAGTCTGCGTATGATCTCAGACATAAACTAGTCCTCGCGATAGGCTTCCACCAAAGATTGAGTAACCTTGTCCGCAAGACTGAACTCGGTAATCAGCGCATCCGAGAAGTCTGGTCTGCGCGACAGGGCGTCAGCAACCTTGTTATACTCCCCTTTGAGATACTGAGGGTCAAAGTCATCAAGCGATAGTGTCTAAGGTGTGCAACCACGGCCCACTTCTGTGCCTAAGAAGTATGCTTACGACCAGTCCTGCCATTCGTTTACCCTCGCGTGCAACGAGCCTTACGTCTGATCTGGCTGATCAAGAGGCAATTTAAACCACCGCCCCCCCCCGCAGCCTAAAGTAGGGGGGACCGGTAGGGCGATTTTTGGAATAGGCGGCTGACCTACCGGTAGCAGGGACTGCCACGA